AATGTGGGCTTATTTACAATTTAGCCAAACTGGGGGAGAGAAAGGCTACAGATTTCTGTTTCCTGATGTTGTATTTCAGTTTTCTGTGGAAGATGAAACAAGGCCAAAAAATACACACCCAGTGAGTTCTGTCCTGGGAAAAGGGGACCTGAGCTCAAGGTTCTTCCTGTCCTCTGTGACAGAGATGGTTGCCTTTGTTTTGCTTAAGGACAGGCTGAGAGAAATGGAATTAAAACCTTTTCCCCAACTGTTTCAACAGAGAAATGATTCTGATTTGGTTGGTGGTGGAATTTCCACCCACTAGAGGTCTGGCAGAGTTCTTTATCTCTAGGTCCATTTCTCTGAAAGGTTTGGACTGTTCTTATCTTTCCTTTGTAGGTCAGCTTCAGCTCAGACTCCTCTGTGCCTATGAAACACACTTATTTTACAAGTAAAAACTGATAGTGGAGTGATAGGTGGGAAAGGTGTATCTGCTTTACCAGAGCTTCTGCCTACGGTCTTAGATGGCAGTCCCAGTGCCATTGGCAAAAGGGTCCCACAACCTAGGACTATTATTTGCTTATCACCACTAGTTTTTAATGCCATTTCTTGCCCATCTTGTTGGCAAGGGATACTTATTGTGACAAAATAGGTTCAGTAGATTTTTAACCTTAAAAAGAAAATCTCCTAAATGTTAAAATTCCATGGCTCCGAAGTTGTATGGGGATTGAGAACTAGACATTATATATGTAATTTAATAAGGCATGACTTTGAAGCCACACAATCTTGTATTTAAGTCCCAGCTTTATCATTTACTGCCTGAGTGGACTTGACTAACCTGCTTCTCTTCTCTGAGGCTGGAGGGCCTCTGTATAACTGGAAAAGCAGGCCCCATTCAAAGATCGCGCCTTAATCCACAGCAATGCTCTATTGCAGATCAATCCTCAGACACCTCAGACAGGCAGAGCACAAACTGGGAGGACTGACCGGGATTGGCTTGTCTACTCCTAAGAAGGTCACCATGCAGTAGGAAATTAGAAATCAGTGTACAAGTTGTTGCGATAAAGAGTAAAAATTAAGAAAAAGTTACAAGCACTGTATTAATAATATCTATGGGGAAAAGAAAACTTTTTGTTTGTTTGTTTTTTGTTTTTCAAGACAGGGTTTCTCTGAGTAGTTTTGGTGCCTCTCCTGGATCTTACTCTGTAGACGAGGGTGACCTCGAAATCACAGAGATCCTCCTGGCTCTGCCTTCCGAGTACTGAGATTAAAGGCATGTGCCACCACCGCCCGGCTTAAAAAAAAAAACAACAAAAAAACAAAAACCCAACTTTCTAAAAAGCAACATGCCCTATTCATTTGCTAACCCCTCTGAATGGCTTTCTGCATACTAGAATCTCTGTAGATGGTTGAGTCGCTTGCACATGAAACATTTCCAAGTGTATTATGTGCATTTATTTCAGAGGGATGACATGGAATCCACAGATAATTTTATTTTTTAAACTAAGCCATCCTACCATATTTGTTTTTAAAATGGCACTCAGGAGTATTGATGTATGCTAGATAGCAAGACGATTAGGAGGAGATGAGTTTTCAGCATTTATCACCTTTGTATTTTAGTGTAACTGCCATTTAAATTTATTTCATAATAATATGTTAGAATAATAGCTGTGATTAACCATTGCTTGGAAAGTCCCAGGGAGTTTAGTTCCTGTTCTCAACAGCCAACATTGCAGCACAGTAATGGATCTTGAGGAAGTTCATGCTGTAGGGACCTCAGCTACGCTGTGATGTTAATGAGACAGGATGAACTTGATATGCTAACCATCCTTCATAGCTGGGACTCATACATGGCATCATCTCCTGAACCTATGAGAGTTCCAATGTGATCCTAGCTGGACAGGATGCTCCTGGAAGAGCTGCTTTCCTCTCCACGGTCACTGAGACCTGGTCAAGGGCTCTCTGAGTCAGGAAATCTAGCAGCAGCCAGGAGCTTCCAGTTGCCTTGCTAACTGTTATCTTTTCTGTTAGGCAGTTTAGGGCATGCTTGTGTAGAATTGAGTGCATTTCTAAATAGATGTGTGTGAGTGTCTTTGTGTGTGTGTGTGTGTGTGTGTGTGTGTGTTTTCTAAAGGGAAATAGGGAGACTTTGTTCTTAAAGTGAATTTCCCGTATTTATGTTACTGGATAAATGGCAAGCATGGGCACTGCTAAAAAGCCATAGGTTAGTCCAGGTATGGAAAGTATTAGCATCTTATGTCCTAGTTTATTTTTAAAGACTGCAGAAAGAGCCACGTTAGAGCATAACACAGCTGGTCTGATTGTTCTTTAGTTTGGTATTTCAGTCTAGCCTTTCCACGTGGTCAATGAACAGAATCAAGGTGGCAGTGATGCTTTCTGGGACCAGGGGCAAAGCAAAAGAAAACGCCAGCTGTTGACTGATGTGTGTTTTCCAGTAACTTCTATGAAGAAAAGTATTCTTTTCTGAATTAGAATACAGAGTGAAGGATAGTTTGTTTAAAGAAAAAAAAAAAAGGCCATAAAGAACTTAAAAAAAAAACAAAAAAAAACCCTTCAGACTTGCAGTGTTTGGGCGTGACTGGTTTGACAGAGACCTTTGAAGGAAGCCATTGTTGCATGAGTAATTGATACTGAGATTCTCCCATAGGCAAAGACTTAAAAGATGGGCAGTGCTTACTTCATCGTTCATGCCCTATGGCCCTAGGTGACCTCTGCACTCCCTCCCCCATAGTGTTTGCATGCTGAACTACTGAACAAGAAATTAACTCTGTTTGCAAAGGAGATGTGTAAGCATGTCCTAATCGACAGCCTTGAACTCTGTTCCCCTCCTCTCTCTTCCTTTCTCCTCCCCTCACCCCATTCATCTGCCTTCCCCTATCATTTCTTCTTCTCTCTTCGAAGGTCAGTATCTCACTAGGTGTACATTTCTAAATTTTTGTACTCTTAGAGAGGAAAGAAAAAAAGCCCACCCAGTTTAAGAGGAAGTTTATTTAGCAAAGTAAAGTAAATGATAGCATACTCTAGAAACAATGACTGTAGCCACTCACCATAAGGAAGGAATGTGTGTCAGAGGACGCGGGTACCAGCCCATTGGCTTCTGAGTTGTATAATTTAAAGGAGTGTTTATGAATATGCATGAGATAGGTGACATACTACTGATGAAAAGTAATGTTTTTTTCCCCCTCTCAAATTATGGAGGACTAAAGGACTAGATGTTCCTTTGAAATTCCTTGCAGAGTTTGGTTCCCAGTAACCATGCCTGGTAGCTCACAATCACCTGTAACTCCTCCTCCAAGAGATCCAATTCCCTTATCTGGGTTCCACCGATACCAGCACTCATGAACATATATACCCACACAGACACAGATTAAAATTAGAAATAAATCTTCAAAGAATAGCTTACGAAAGGACCTTTCAATGTAAGTCCTAGTGCCCACGCTTGTTTTGACACAGCACTTAAGTTCCATATCCTCCCCAATTGCATATCTCCACATTCTGTGTCCAAAATTTTGCACAGCCTTTATGTTTCATATGCACTAAGTTATTGTCCATGTTAGCCCTTCATATTTGACTGTAGACCAAAGTGGATGAGACAGACAACTGGTTGACCTCCTTGCTAGTCTACCTACAGTGCCCATTAGCTCTTACTGCTCAGGCTGATTCTCCCTCAGCCACTTGTCTCTTTCTTTGGGCCTGCCAAAATTATATATCATGATTTAATAGAGATGTTTACACTCACCATGTTTATTATAGATTTGTTTTCCCCTTGTCTCCATCATGACCTCCCAGAGGAATGAGACAGTCATACTCACTTTTTATTTCCAATACTCAGATGCTTCTTGGTGAAGGATGCATATTTTATTCATTATTTTTATATTATTTAAACTGATCAATGAATGTACTGCTGAGGTAGGGTGGTATGGTATGATTTATTAATAAACCCAGTGTTGTAATCTCCTACTAGGTAAATAGAATATAGAGTAAATATTTGAAAGGGGAGTAAGAAGATTAACTGTCCTCTTACACTATTAATTTCATTCATTTTTACATGAACAGCGATGATTTAAGAGCATAACTAATTTCATTCTGAGGTAAAATTAGCCTACTGATCATTATAGCAAATCACTACCCAGATTATCTAGGCAGATAATATTCAGACTTGGAGAATATATCAACTGAAAAAAAAAAAAAGCTGGAGTTTCATTCTAGATAAACAGGGATCAATGTTGAATTTAAAAAAAAAAAAATCATACTTGAGAACCTAGCCACAAAATGAACAAGTTGAAGTGGCATTAATTAGCACAGAATCCTGGTGTTTGTGTATCCCTTAGTTAACTATGAATTCTAATTCCAATTAAGTAACACCTACACACACACACACACACACACACACACACACACACACACACACACACACAACCTGGTAAGCAACTAGTGATTAAAAAATTAAAGCCTTAGGTCCAAGAAGCTTATATTTATTGTCCTACAGTGTGGTACTAAAATTGTAACTACAAGAGAAGTTATTAATCCTAGGGCAAAATTGAAGTTCTCTGAAATGACTTCTGTTTTCCAATTCTACTCCTTACCTGCTGGAGGCAGAATGGGCAGATAATCATTTGAGGCACTTATAAAATAGGTTTAATGATAGGTCAGCCTTGCCGACAGATTTAATGAAGGGCTGTTTATTTTCTTTTTGAAATCTACACTCTGTTGGGAAGTGTAAGTATAGCATGCAGTAACAATGCTATTAATTAAGAGAGATGCATTTGATAAAAATGACTTGATTGTCTAGCATTGGAAGTTCTGTCTTGATTGCCTGCAGAGTGTAGTCTGGGATGCTTTCTAAAGAAACATCATTTGTGCAACTTAGGAACTGTGTTCCGTATGCCTGTATGACTTTATAGACTCATTGGTGTTTTCGTTTAGATTTGATTTAATTAGCCAGTGTCGTGAATACAGAAACTATAATCTTAGTTTCATTTTTTTTTTGTCCTTTTAAGTTTCGTAGAAACCCCAGCTCATTTCTCTTGGAAAGAAAGTTATTACCGATCCGCCATGTCACAGAGCACCCAGACAAGTGAGTTCCTCAGCCCAGAAGTTTTCCAGCATATCTGGGATTTTCTGGAACAGTAAGTATCGAATAATCAAGAAGTGCACCTGAACTCTTTAAAAATAAGTCAACACAAATGGCTGAAACATCATTTACTACAGATCATTTTGAGAGTCAGTTAACCAAAGTTATCCTTTTGTAAATTTAAGGCCGTCGATTATATAACAGCATTGAAAATAAAGTTTTCTTTCTCCAGTTTTCAATACCAAAAGAACGTCATTACTTTGAAGTAGTAGCACTGTACACATTCTAAATGTTTTTCCCAGAACAATCTGAAACACCTTCCCCAGTATCAATGTCTGGCCTTCAAGCCTTCTTCCTTTTTCTTGAAGACGTATCCCCTGAGAAGGCGAAACACTCTATTTCATTAGTCATTTTACATCTCTGTGAAAAATGTTTATTACTGCTTTTCTCAAAACCAGGTTTTAGTTAAGTTGATAGAAAGATGAAAGGGGACACTAGAGTGCTTACTGCCCACCACTGACCTTCCAGGATCTGCACATGGCACTGTCCCTGGCCTATCCACGTTAGCCTTCGTGTCAGCCAGCAGAGGTCATGTCTCCAACTTGCCAAGTAGGATTTAGTTTGACCTTCCTCGGATGATGCGCATGGGAAAGGGTTGAGTCCAGACTCAAACTTGGGGTTTCTGATTCTAAGCAAGGACTGGCTAGCACTGAAGCAGAAAAATCTTCATCATTATTAATTAGTTAAATGCCTTGCAGTTTCTCCCGATTGGTGATGCATACTGTCCTCCTCTTGTGCTAGGCCTATATGTTCGGTACAGCCCATCGACTTGAACTTTGTGGATGAACCGTCAGAAAATGGTGCAACCAACAAGATTGAGATCAGCATGGATTGTATTCGCATGCAGGACTCAGACCTCAGTGACCCCATGTGGGTGAGTACCCTGAGCTTCCTCTTCAAAGTGTGGGCCAGGCTATCAGCAAATCAAAAGGAGACGGCTCTGAACAGAAAGACCATTGGGAAGAGAGCAGATCTAGCCAACTGGGAAATGATTAGCTGCTGCTTTTTCTTTTCATTTGTCTGTCTGTTTTCTTCATTGTTCTTTATGGTAAGCCCAAATTAGAGAGGATGATGGCACCAGGGTGCTCACAGCCCTAGAGAAGCAGAAGCCGGGTCTGATGCTACCCAGATCCATCCGCTGTGGGAAGCACTTTCCTCATTTAGCTTCACAGTAATGCCGAAGGAAGAAGTAACTTCTGTGCACATACTCAGGAAACAAAGTCAAAAGGAACATAGATGAGAAATAAGTGGTATTTCCTGGGCTTTTCCACTGTGTCACTCATAATGTTAGGATGTTAGGTTTATTACCTATTTATTAAGTGGTGAAACCATACTAGTGACTTCTGTCTCTGGCTAGGTCAGTAGTATTACTGTTAATTTTGATACAAATCCTGTACTAAAAAACAAAAACAAAAACAAAAAAACCCCTCAGATGATTCCAAACAAAGGTGCACCTGCCTTAAAGAAATTGTATGTGCTTATACTGAAAAGATTTTCAATTCTAACTCTTGGCTACATAGGAATAGCTTACATTATGAAATTTAAAATCACAAGCTTTTAAATTCCAGTTCCCAACATTGTAATTCATATACCGACATACTTGGTATCCTAATGTTCCAGACTGTTCTGTTGTTTCATTTTGTTGTTGAAAACATTCTCTTCCAAAATATCATTTCCACGTTTTTCTTCCCCCTATCCAGTTCTTATCTGTCCCTCACTGCCCTCTCTGCCCTGCTCTCTCTTGGAATTCTTTCTATGTCACCATTTCCACCCTCTGGAATTAAATACCATCCCTCTGAAGCAACGGTGATGATAACTTTTGGTATGTTCTGTGTTACGCAATGCTACACTTGTTTATTTCTCCGTCTCTTCAGGAATCAGCGGCCACCACATTTTTGTCATTGGCGTGCTCGAGAGCACATAGTTGGGGTTCAGAAAGAAGGCAGTAGGGTTTTACCAGAGAGGAAGAAATAATAATAAAGCACTCCAGGCAGCTGTTTTGACATGTACATAGAAGGAGAGAAAGACTGAATCTCATTAAATAATCAAGCTTACCTTTCTGTAGATACCCCGTTTTTTAACTCAAAAGAACTTACAATTGTCATAAATTCTAATTGCATATGAATTTTCAACTTCTATATTAGCACTATTCTGATGCTGTTTTCTCTTCATCTTTGCACACACATAGTTCTATATGAATGACAGTTACACAGTCCGGGCCAGATCACCACAGGCCTCAGCAGCAGGCATGGCAAAATAGGGAGTGTGCGCAGGACGCTGTGATAGTGCTCTGCTCTGTAAGTTAAAAAGCAGGGAGACTCTCAGATGCCTGGTCCTTCTCAACTGCTATGAGACTGTGTGGGGCTCGTTTCTTCAGTTCCACTATCGGGTAATTGCTAAATACTTTGTAAAGTCTACACATAAATTACTTCCCCCATCAATATAGTATTTTAATAAGCTGGGAACTCGGCCAATTCTTTTCTCACTGTCTGAGAAATGCAACTCCATGATGGACGTGAGGAGACATGTCAGATTACTAAGGACAGAAATTGAGAAATTCATCCTATTTTTTTCCCCCTGATTTTTCATATGGGCAAGAAATGGAATCATGTTTTGGTCTGATTATTAGCAAAGGAAATTAAAGTGTAGATGTTAAATTAGATTGTAGATACTGTGTATTTTTTTTATTAAAATGTGTTTTATGCTGCTGAAAATTAGTTCTATTGGGTTAGTGAATGAGGCTGAGTGAAATATCTCAAAAGAAATTCATATTTTATATGTTTTATCAAGTGCCATAATGATCCTTGATTCTATTGTTTTATATGTTACTATATTTCTCAGATTTGTATTACTTTGGATCTGTGTAAGCATGCCTCTAATACATTCAAAATGTGGATTAAATATTAACAGTTAAACATTTTCCTCAGTGATGGATGCTGGCCAAATAACTATTTTGCATTTATTTACCCTTTATATTTCACGTTAAATCCGATTTTACTTAAAGGAAACTGAGTGGTAATTACCTAAAGTGCTCTGTATTTATAACCTTACTGACTCATCCCAGATATACGTGAGAAACCTTCAATTTTACATCTCAATAGACTGCAATCTTTGTGTGTGTGTGTGTGTGTGTGTGTGTGTGTGTGTGTGTGTGTGTGTATGTATGTATGTATGTATGTATGTATGTATGTATATGTGTTTGGCCATAGTACCTGTTCCAGCACATATCAGCCTACTTCTATGACCCAGATTTATATAAAATTCCCATCATGTATACAAGTCCAAACACACTTATTATTTAGTAACTACCTATGGCATGTTATGCTGTAGATGAGGAAATCATTGTTTCTTCCCTTGAGAAGACCATGAAATAGCATTAAAGGTTATAAAATAGCAAATGGGTATAAAATTATCCATGAAATCTACTCAGAAGTATGGATATTCTTACAGAAACATGACAGTGTTGTGATGTATTAAGACTGAGAAAGACCAGCAATAGGTTACAGAAAGGGTGATTTGTAATTATGCTTTGGAACATGAGCAAAATTGATTATGACGGGGTGGGGTGAGTCCACATTTGCGAAACTGTTACCATCAAAGCATTGGAGGAACTAAGAAATTTGAAGAAGTCAGGCTGAAAAATTCAACTAAAGAATGTCTATATAAGAAAAATTTGAGCATTAAAAATTACAATATTTAGAGCTGCAGAGGTGACTCAGACATTAAAAGCCTGGGGTGCTCTTCTAGAGGACCGGGATTCTATTCCCAGCACAAACGTTGGTTGAAATTGAAAGGTTCTATAGAATGATAATTCTCTTTTGCATACTTGATAGAATTTACCCAGTGAAACCATCAAGGTCTGGTATGTCTTTTCCAGGAGCTAGGAACCGAATTCCTTTATAGGATTGCTGCTATTCTTTTCTCTTGGGCGAGTCTTGACAAGATGTAGTTTTTGAGAAATGATAAATTGAATTATAGTTACTAAGTCCATGCATATAGAATTGTTTGGAATATTTCCTTTATAGTCTGCTAATACTGGAAAGATAGATAATTATATTTTCATGTACTATGCTGGAAACTTTCAGTACCAGAGACTTACCAATATTGATTACCTTTCAACAAAACACCTCAAATTTTACTTTACCTTTTTTTCTAATAGTTTTCTCTATCCAACCTCATTTTTTTCTGGTTTGCTTTCCTGACTTCTGTGTCTTTTGTTTTATTTTGCACCTCTCCCTTATTTTTTTCCTGAAATTTCTTTTCTCCTCCCTACCATTTCCCTTCTTCCTCTTCCTCTTTTTCCTCTTTCTCATCTTCCTCATTTTTCTCATTTCCTCATCATTTCGTTCTCCTGCTTTTTCTCTTCCTCCTCCTCCCCTGCTTCTCCTTTCTTTTCTTACAGCCATCATTTTATCAATGCTCTAATGTCTAAGCCTCCTCATTTATATTGGTGAGTTGATTATTTTCTTTTTCTCCTGCAGATTCTAGCATTGACTATAATAAATTTCCCACTAGACATTGCCATAGCCTCATCCAATAAATACTGATGTGATTAATGTGTTTTTCAGGTTCTGTTTAGTTTTAAATATATTTACACTTTTCTGGAACTTCAACTTTGACTTATTAGTGTTAGAAAGACTACCACTGAAGTACAAGACCACACACTCTGCTTTTGTTGTGTGGGAAGTTCTATAAATAACAACTGGATCCAGTTGGATTTGGAACTGTATACTTCTACATCTTTTCTGTTTTTCTGTCTCCTGGTATATTGACTACTGAGTGTTGAAGTTTCCAAGGAATAATTATGGATCTGTTTGTCTTTTCAAGTGTTTACATTTTTTTTACATGTGTGTTGGGTACGTGATATCTAAGATTATTAACATTCATGGCGAATTGGTCCTTGTGTTCTCCTTCAATTAACCTCTGCCAGTGTGCTTCCATGTTAGTCTATTTTGTCTCGAGTAATACTTGAGAAATCATTGTTTTGAAATGAATTTTTCTTAATAATATGTAATTGGATTACTTCCATGCATTCTGACAACTTGTGTCCTTTGTGCCGTATACACCATTTAGATATAATGGGATTAGTGTGCTTTAGGACTATGATTGTTTTCTGCTTCTTCATTCCATTGTTCATGTTTCCATTTATTCTGTCATTTTGGTTACTTGTTCTCTTTTTCGACTGCATTATTTTAATTTATCTATTTTGTCTTTAGTTTATTTGCATATTTTAGTGGTGACTCCAAGAATCTCGGTGTTTTTCCTCTGTCATCTACCAAGAAATAGCATAGAAGAGAATATATTGAAGTCTCCCACAATATGTTAGTGTGTGAGGGTCAATGTGTGATTTAAACTGGACTAGTGTTTCTTTTATGAACTTGGGTCCCCTTGTGTTTGGTGCGTAGATGTTAAGAATTGATAATCCTCATGGTAGATTTTCCTTTGATTATTTAGTGTTCTTCCCTATCTCTCTGAATTGTTTTGGTTTGAAGTCTGTTTTGCCAGATATTAAAATGGCTACATCAGCTTGCTTCTTAGGTCCATCCACTGGAAGCATCTCTTTCTATCCTTTTATCTAAGGTGATATCTATCCTTGATGCTAAAGTATGTTTCTTGTATGCAGCAGAAGGATGGGCCCTGTTTTCACATCCATTCTGTTAGCCTGTGTCTTTTTATTGGGTAATTAAGACCATTGATGTTGAGAGTTTTCAATGAGCAGGGTTTGTTGATTACTGTTAATTTGTTGTGTGTGTGTGTGTGTGTGTGTGTGTGTGTGTGTGTGTGTGTGTGTTCTCTCTTTTAATTTGCTGGTCTGAGATTATTTATTCCTTGTGTTTTCTTGGGTGTACTTAATCTCCTAATGTTGAACTTTCC